CCCCCCCCCCCCCCCCCCCCCCCTCTCTCCTTCTCTCTCCCTATTTAGTTGCGTGCAAGGAAGGATAAGCGGCAATGAGCATGAGGCGAACGATTACGTAAAGTGTGGCGGCATTTAGCCCAACTAATTGTGCGAAAACCGCGGCGAAAGGGAGGGCGACGTATGCGCGCGCCTCGCATGTGACGATCCTTTGACACGCGACGCCGACTTGTTAGTAACGCACGCGGCTGGCATATGTTGTCTTTCGGGCAGCTTTCGGCTCTATTTGTTTCAATACTTGCGCACAAGTTGGTTCATACATCTATCTGTATATGCCTACGCGCGATATTATTGTAATATTTTACATGTATCATATTATATATATATATATATAGATAATTATTTAAGTTATATATCATTTATCATAATTACATAAGTTATTCATGTCTTTCCTTAATACACGCGATATTTTACGAAATAATATATTGCAAATGAATGTTGCGTTACAATTATGGGTCTTATGGCCACTGTAAAAGAACAGTTTTAAAAAATTAACTTTAAATAAGTCATAATAATCATATGAATATTATATTAAATGCTATTACATATACTGAGTAAAAAGGAAAATGACGGTGCAATTTCGTATTTAGCGCGACCATCGTCGCGTTCATGAGGCAGAAACAACGATCAGACGAAACGCCTTTGATCCTAAGAGCAATTCTCTCAAATCAACGAACCACCGTGAAAATGACCGACCTCCTCTCCGCCTTAATGTCGCAAACAAAACGCCTCTCCACGGACTCGTGAAATGCTCTTCAATGGAATTTGTGCTCGCGCGTTTGCATATCGCAGAGAGCAAGTACTCGGTCAAATGGATCGAAATTGCTCGATCATGCTTTTTGTTTGTGATCACTCTTGAGACGAGCTAGGACAAAAAGGTGCCCTTCCAGCATCGACATTTTTTTGCTTTCATCGAATGTTTCTCCCTCTTCCTTGCTCGCCTCTAGCTTTCTTTCTCTCTCATTTTTTTGCATTTTGAAAATTGTAAACGCATTATTTTGTTAGTATACTTTTGGCTCAAGTCAATTGCTCAATTTTTCATTCTTTATGCTCATATGAGCATAAAGAAATCTAATCTGCAATCTAATCTTGTATATAATAGATATAATATGTACATACAGTTCATATCTAACAAAGGAAAGAGCCATATTGCAAAAATGATATTAAAAAACTACTCATATAGCACAGAAATTTGCAGCAATATTTTTTTGTAACAATACATTGCAACATCGCATGTTGCAATGTATTGTTTCAAATACATTGTTTAAATGTAGATATGCAACATAACTTTAATATGTTGCAGCAATTTTTAAAAATAAATTTTATTTTAAAAAAAATTGTGAAAATAAATTACTATAACTTCACTTAAATATTTATTAAATATCAATCAATTGCATAGTTATTATTTAAATTCGTGCTCAAATAACGACGTATATGAAAAATCTTTTATCAGAATGACATTACAAAGTATTCCGATAAAAAATTTTTCATGATATATAATCATATGCAACCATTTAACATTATACATTTTATCTTTATTTAGAGTGTTAAAATGTGTATTATCTCCATTCTTCATCTTAGATAAAAAAATGTTATGTCTTTTTCAAATGTGTAATCACAAGTTTATCTTAATGTCAAAATCAAGTTTAATACACTCTTTTTTTTATTTAAAACATTTCCTTTTTTATAAACCGGATATTTATGTTTAACGTCATTAGATCAGTGCTGTCCAAGATTTGTAATTCTGGGTATTGACTTGTTAAAAGTTATCGCCTCATTTAAAAAAAGAAAATACTTTCAATATTGAAGTTTAAAGTACGTTTATAAAGAAAGATTAAGAAGGGCGAGAAAGGGGAAAGAAGGAAGGGTGAATATATATTGCTAGGGGGATATATAGGTATTGCTCCTACCTCTTTCTAGACAATACACCATATTCGTTTTAATATATAATTATGCTATATTCATTAGTATATCGAGCTTATTTTATGTTATAAATATGGGCTTACTAGTTCTTTATACACATATTATATAGTCTTAGTAATTTTCATGAAATTTAACATTTCTTCTATACACATCTATACATTTATACATTCTCCATATATTTGATATAAGTATATCGCGCGAGTTTCTCACAACGTAGTTTTTGAAAGCTACATAGTTTCGCTTGAATCGGAAGAATCGTAATAACTTTTCGTTTGAAATGTTAACAATTTTCTTACCGTAGATGTAATGACACCCTGCTGAATAGCTACTGAATTTTTAGATTTTTCCGAGATATCTTTATTTTTCGATAAATTAGTTTCAAGTATTCTCAAAGTATTTGATAATGTTGTTTTTTGCACAGATGTGACTGGTATATCACTTATAAGAGAAGAGAAAGATGCATCTTTCCTCATATCACTGATTCTCGACTTAATATCGCTATTAGATTTTTTATTAGCTAGTTGTTTATTCGTTTTGGCTTCTTTGTCGATTGATTTAAATTTAGTTTTTACATTGTGCGTTCGACTATGCTTTTCAAGAGAAGAATTCAATAAGCCTAAATGTCTTTTACTGTACTTCCTTGCAATAGAATCATTAAAGATTTCTTCCGAATTGATACTATCGTGACATCGCAATCTATTGTGAGTAGAAGAACTAGTTAACACTTTACAAGTAGATGAAGTATAACTATTGCTTTCTTCAGAATCTGAAGAGTTTGTGTCAAATGTTTTTGTTTGAAAGAACATAACGGGGGCATTATCCTTACAATCTATCCCATTTTTTTTTATCGCTCCATTTGAATGCCTTAGACTGTTATTACTTATGTTTTCCTTACTATCAAAGAACGAAATTTTTTCCTTAGCTTTATTTGAATTATCAGCAGTATTACCGTTGTCATTTTCACTTGAGAAAAACACAAATCCTTCATTTCTAAGTAACTCTAAAGAGGTAGTTCCCGTCTGCGTATCATCACTATGTTTTTTCTTCTTTTTTATCGAGCCAATGTCTCTTTGTACAGTCTTTTCTGACGAACGAATTACCGTACTTAAGTTTCTACTATAACTATATTTGTCTTTATTGCTAATAACCAACTTGTTCTGATCATACAAATCTTTCTCGGCGATATTTGATTTGCTTAATATATCCTCAGCTGATACTTTTGACCTTTTTCTGGGATGTTGTATCGATTGAGCAAAATCATCTTCATCCGATGATGTAAATGTTAAAATTGAATATTTACTACGGTCATCTTGACTTGCTTTACTAAAATTTTTGTGTTGAAATGTTTTATGCTGAAATGTAAACTTTGACTCTATCTTATCAAAAACTTGACTTCCACGCTGTGTGACAATATCGTATGTATCATTTATTTTATCGTTATCTTTCTTGGATTTGATATTCATCTTCGATGAATAATTATTACAAATTGATGGAACAGCTACTTCATTTTTACAAGCCAAACTTTTAGAAATTTTCCTAATTTTAGATTCTCGATTATGGTTAGTTTGCAGTCCTGTATTCTGGGAAATTTTTTTATTAGGAAAAATATTTATATTTATAACATTGCTGTTTTCCTTAAAGCATATATTCGCAGGTAATCGTTCCAATAAAACTCTGATTTCTTGAAGTTTTATATTATCTTTCTCAGTTGTTCCATATAAATTAGAAAAATGCGTTTTAGATTTATTTGATGTTCCTTTTTCCCAAACAGCATTATTTTTATTTAAGACTTGCATTTCTGTCATTGTATTTGTACAATTTTTTATTGATAATGGCAATCGTTCCAATACAACTCTGATTTCTCCAAGTTTTATATTATTTTTCTCAGTTGTTCCATATAGATTAGAAAAATGTATTTCAGATTTATTTGACGTTTCTTTTTCCCAAACAGCATCATTATTTTTATTGAAGACTTGCATTTCCGTCATTGTACTTGTACAATTTTTTACTGATAATGGCAATCGTTCCAATACAATTTTAATTTCTCGCAGTTTTATGTTATCGTTTCTTCCGTATAAATAGGAATACGTTTTAGATTTATTTGATAACACATTTTGCCAAATGGCGTTAGTTTTATTTGAAATTTCCGATTCCATCGTTGCATTTGAATAATTTTTCTTTGATAGCTGTAGCAATTCTTCCACATTTAATGCCTTATTGTGACTCACATCTGTATTTTTCAAATTTGATAGTTTGTCATCTTTCTTTTCTGCATTCGAGGTAGAAAAGTCGTCTTCAATGTCCAGTTTCAAATCGAGAGAGCAATCACTCAAAGACGAAACACATTGCGATGCATTACATTGGCAAATAAGAATGGTACTTCCGTCGCTGTCTATTGTTTTTGATTCCAGATTTTTAATCTTGCAAGAATATAACTTTTTGGATTTATTTAAATTTCTGTTGCATACATCTTCTTTTTGTGCGATATGAGTATTCTCGTCGAGTTTACATCGATTAAAAGACTGAATCTGCTCTAAAAGTACAACTGGCTTTAGATTAAGAGATGCTAAATTTTGTTTTCTAAAGTCTTCATTTCTCACAGAAATATTTGTGTCATTGTATTCTCGAAACGGAATGTCATCTTGTTTATTCGAATTATCATGGAAGTCTGATGAATTCTTGAAAGAGCTGTCAATAGTATTATCTTGAACCTTGTTGTCATTTCTATCCTTGTTACTAATCTCTGTAATAATTTCACTGGAAATACAATTGAGTTCTCTTCTTCCTTTTTCCTTGATTTTCTTAGAGCCAAGGTTCCTTTTAGCAGAAAATGAATGTTTATTTTTGCCTTTACGAGTTAAAAATGGTTCTCCCTTAATTGTACCATCAAGATCTAAAGCAGGATGTAAACTTTGTTTTGTTCCAGATAATCTATTTGCACCATGTGTTTCGGTTAGTATTAGGTCTACAGGGGAATCCCTACCTGTATATAATTTCTTACGATGAAGAGTTGTCAAACTTGTGTTTTTTGCAATAATTTTATGCGCAACATTTTCTGACACTTGCTTCTCGTGAAAATCCATCTCTAGCACTTTATTTCGATCTAAATCTGACACATCATTATTTTTATCGTTTACGATCAATCGTTTCGACGTTTTATCAAATCGCCGAAAAATGGATGCAATATTATCTATAGTTTGTACATTTAAATTTCTTTGACTGGTATTAAACTCTGTTTTATCTGTTTCTTCACAAGATAAACTCTGCGAATACACATTAGATTGTATTGCATTAGAAGCTACTAAGGTGCCAGCGGCCACCTTACCACATACTTCTGCTGTCATACATTCTGTTGATACTGGATACAGTTCCGTATCTAGAATATCAACATTAACATTGTCACTGTTGTTGTGCGTTATCGCACGATTGATTCTGGTGGTTTCCACATATTTAATCTTATCATTGGATGGAACCTCTATATCTTTAACAGCAACTTCCTTTTTGTGCGATTTAACCTCGGCACATTTTGCACCTTTTATAATAGCTATAGTATCCGCTTTCTTTGTAATATTTGCGTTTGATAGAATGTAAGCCGCAGTATCTACAGAACTGCAAGATGAGTCATTTTTGCATTTTTGCTTATCTGCATTTGTGACCGGAGATACTAATGCAATTTCTTTTTCGCTTAGAGACGAACCAGCTTCAGATAATTCGTTTTCATCTAGGAGCGTCTTATAGGGTGGATTACCAGTATTTATCCAATACTGTATGCAAGTTGCTGGTTTACGCATAGGTACTCTCTGTCCACAATTATATTCTTCCTCGCTAACTACTTTTTCTTCTTTATCTTCTTCAGGTTCTAAAGTATTAACATTTAGCTCTATATCATCAGACATCTGAAAATAAAATATAAATTTTTTTGCAACATGCCAAACAGCAAGTATCATAAGATGGTAATAAGAATTTTTTAATGCATTTAATAAAGAAAACAAAGTATACCTCATTGGAATATTTATTCAACAAATTGTCCCAAGTTTTCTTTCGAACTTCCAAAAGTTCTACCGGTATTTGAAAATTAAAAATACTGCCTTTCGTTCCCGTAATTCTTCATATGAATCAACAATATATCCATGAGAAATAATTATAGAAGATGTATATTATATAGATACAAATAAATTTACCTTTCAATACCTTCGGAATAAGACTGCGAAAGAAAATCATTATTAATGCTTTCATTCACTATGCAATTTTCCATTAGTTATTTTACGTCACCGCGTCAGTAACGTCAAGTAAGACTTATATAATTAGTAAACAAATTTAGAAATTTGGTCCGAACATATGATAACCATGGAGCAGGGATGTCAGACAGTGATGGGAAATTGGCTCCGTGCAAGTGCAACTCCGAGAATCAAGCCCATGACACATACAAAAACGTAAGGTCGTAATACGTAATGCTGGATTCACACTGCATCCGATTTTCATCGGATG